GCTTCACTTGAGATTTTCCACTATTCTCTAGCTTTCACAGGGTGGTAGCAACCTTTTCACATATGGAGCAATCTTCCACGGATTTTACACAGACTTTCTAAGTTAAGAACACTGAGTGTACTACACTCTTACAAGATTGAAAAGAAGGTGTTTTTGCTTTTACAGAAAGTTATAAGAATTATCTCTAAAAAATAGATATAAAAATGAAGCTTTGGTTTTTTTGTAAACTTCACACAGGAAAGATAGGTTTAAAGCTATACGTCTCAGTGTATAATTTTTGAAAGAGGATGTAAACAAAAATTGAAGAATACTTCTTAGAGAATTTTTCAAAGAATAGATGTGAGTGATTATAGATCAAAGAATATTTTTTGATTTTTTTTTTTGTAACTTGTTTACATTAGAAGTTTTGGTATATATAATGAAACTTATAGCTGTTTATAGCCGTTGTATTCATTTGAATTTATACCCGTTATAGCCATTGTATTCATTTAAATTTATAACCGTTTATAGCCATTGTACTCATTTGAATATCTTTTACTCCATCATTACTAATTTGAATATTTTTTACTCGAACCTTTTGGCCTGCTGATGTGCTGGGCTGTTTGAACCTTTGTTTTGGGCTGTTTGAACCTTTGGTTTGGACATTATTTTTGGGTTGAAATGAACTCTTGATTTAAGCAAATATTAAATTCATTCAAACAATATTTAAGATAAAAGTTTATGTCAGAAATAATGGGACAAAATAAATTTTGATTCTGTTTTTCTCTTTCAAATACATTAAAACATAATTAAATAAATCATCAAAATAAATTTTAGATTCTATTTTTCTTTTTCAAATAAATTAAAATATAATTAAATAAATTATCAAAATAAATTTTGAATTCTATTTTACTCTTCCAAATAAATTAAAACATAATTAAATAAATCATCAAAATAAATAAGTCTAACAATATATATATAACCCATTTCATGAAATCCATTTATCATTAACAAATCTATATTTTCTTTCATTTATCTAATAGAAAATCTAACAGAAAATCGAACATAAGATTAAAGAACCAAATTGAACAGAAATCTAAATCATATGTATATATATAAAACAACAACAAATTTCATTTATATTTTCTTTCATTTATCATCAAACCCATTTCAAAAATACCCATTTCATCAAACCCACTTCAAAAATTAATAACAAATCAAACCCAAGAATCATATATATATATACACATATATATAAAACAACAACAAATGACAATGATGATGAAATGGACCTTGTTGTCGCCGCAATCTCATCTTGCTGCCGTTGCATCGCTATTGGACTCACCGTTACCCACCATGTTTTGCGTTTCTCTTTCACTGTCATGTCGCTCCATCATTTCTTTCGCCTCTCAATTCGTTTCTCTCTCCGTTCGTGTTCTTCTCTCCGTCTCTCTCTCAGTTCATCACTCTGTCTCCCACATGCAAAGTCGTGTCTCTATCTCTCTGTTAGGGTTGATTGAGTGAAATAGATGATATAAAACAAATGATACATAAGAGAAAAGAGAGGGAACACAAAAAATTTGAATTAAAAAAAAAAACACTAAACAAAATGACGCTGTTTTCTTCAAAACGATGTCATTTTGGCGACACTATAGAAACTATCATAGGAAATTATGACAGAGGATCTGAACTCAGGAAAGGACTACAAATTCCACCCTTACCGCAAAACCCAAACTTCATTGCATCCTAGTTTGGAGATCAAGGAAGGGGTCAAACGAAGGTGGAAGAAAGATTGACAGTGATAAGGATGTAGGTGACGTGTTACCAATGTTGGGAGGAATTAGCTGATAGATTATTGTAGATGGAAGATTGAAGAAATGAGAGAGGATAAAGAGGAAGTGAATGGATAAATTTATCATTTAAAAAATATTTTTATATATTTATAATTATTTTTCAAATTTTTGTTTATAATATAATTTTTTTTTTTATTCTCCATAAAATTATATAGTTTTGTCAAGTTGTTTATTGGAAAAATTTCAAAAATTATTTAGTTTTATTCTCTGACACGGATAGGCCCACAAGGCATACGGCCCACAGCAAACCACCCCAAACCCATCGCTTGGGACCAATGGCATAACCCGGTTGGCGAAGCCCAGGACAGTTGGAGGCCATCTAGACATGGAGGGCCAATGGCATTTGGGCACATGGCAGGTGGGACACGGGCCACATCAACAGACAAAGATCTGCAGAGTTATTATCACAACACATCACCATTAATGCATCCCATCACAGCATTTATTACGACAACACCCCCCCGTCGGAATAGAGCCCCATCACCCTGAACAAGGTAAGCTACGGCACAGGCTTTCGGCGAAAGGAAGCACGTCACAAGAGACAGGGAAATGATGACCAAAAGATATAAGCAAGGATAGAAAGACAAGAATAAGGTTAAGTTATCTCTCTCTTGATCCCTCTCTCCATATTCCCTACTACTTCCTCTACTAATTCTCACGCCGGAGGGTTCACTGGGGGACTGCCCCGTTCCCCTTTGGGCTTGCATGCAGGTCATTTGACGGAATCATCACCCCGAACCGGAACCTGAAGAGCCTGGACCAGTCCGACCCATTCACCCGGGAAGAAGAACGTTATCAGTTGGCGCCGTCTGTGGGAACTTAGTGGTTTATCCGTGCGCTAGTTGTGTTCACTACCGCCGGAGCCCTCCCTTCTCACCATCACCTTTCCCTCTTGGCCGTCCAGGTGTATGGTCACGACTAGGTCCATGGCTTCTCACCACAACGCCGCCGATCACCAAACAGATCCCTCCCACCCAACCAACCCACCACAGTACATCATCGAGCTCACCAACAGCATTAACCGCATGGCCGAGCAAAACCAGGCCCTGATCAATGCGTTACTCCAAAGAAACCCCCCCGTTCCACCTCCAAACGTTCCCCCCAACCAAGGAACAGCCCCAGACCATCCCGCTCCACAGCCCCCTCCACCTAACCCAGAAGGTTCGCAGCACCTTCCTCCCCAACATGAAAACATACCACCTCCACGCCCGCCGGTTGCAGTACTGACCCCTGAGGGGGAAGCTAGCAGCGTCCAGCCTCCATTGGCCGACCATGGCGACACCACCCCCCTCTGGGACGCTGAAATCCGAGCTATGAAACTCCAACTACAAGGGGTCATGCAGAACATTCAGCACAAGCCCTCAGTCACCACCAACTCGCCTTTTGTTGCCTCCATCCGCGACATAACAGGACTTTTGAATTCATAAGAAAAAATGAAGGACTAAAAAGTTCACAAAATTATATTTTAAGATATATTGATACTTCACTCATATTTTATTTCTTGTGTCAAATCTTATGCCTCAAAAACTTATTTTGTAATTTAATGCACAAATTAAGGTGTTGTTTGGTAAATTTGGTTTTTTGACTTTTTTAGCCTGGGACTTTTTTGTTCGTTTGGTTTTCTTGTTGGCTTTTTTGGCTTTATTGCATTGGAATGACAAATATGCCCTCCACTTAGAAATGATGTTTTTTTTACTTTTTGTTTGTATATGGGTCAATTTGGTAATTTTGCATCAAAAGTCAAGTGATTTGTCATTTTGTGATTTTGTAATTTTTTTTTGTCTTTATGTGCTTATATAATCCCAATGTGTTTACCAAACGAAGGCTAACTATAGAGAAACTGAACTCTATGAGGTAAAAGTCTCGTTTTATTATGGAGGAGGATTCCCTTCGACTGGAGGAGATTATTTGGATCTGTGGGGTCAATTAATATGAAATATTTAATAAATTAAATGGTTTAAATTATTAAAGCAAAGTCTAAATTAATAAATTTATAAAATTCAAATTTTGTAATATCTATGATGAAAAATATATCTGGAGTTGCAATGTCGGTCCTTTGAATCAAATCAGACACTACGGCTGGTGGTGCACATATTTCAGGATTTGTTTTAATTTTTTTTTTTATAATAAATGACATGGATAGGCCCACAAGGCACACGGCCCACGGTAAACCACCCCGAACCCAGTGCTTGGGGCCAATGGCACAACCCGGTTGCTTGGGTGACAAGGCCCAGAACAGCTGGAGGCCACCTAGACATGAAGGGCCAACGGCATTTAGGCACACGGCAGGTGGGACACGGGCCACATCAGCAGACAAAGATCTGCAGAGTTATTATCACAACACATCACCATTAATGCAACCCATCACAGCATTTCACGGCTTCCAGTCGGCCTCTCCACTCGGTTCCCACTTCTCTTCCTTATTACTATTCCCTTCGTTGGGCTAAAGCTGCACTCGGAAATGGGGGACTACTGACACGGATAGGCCCACAAGGCATACGACCCACAGCAAACCACCCCAAACCCATCGCTTGGGACCAATGGCATAACTCGGTTGGCGAAGCCCAGGATAGCTGGAGGCCATCTAGACATGGTGGGCCAATGGCATTTGGGCACATGGCAGGTAGGACACGGGCCACATCAGCAGACAAAGATCTGCAGAGTTATTATCACAACACATCATCATTAATGTATCCCATCACAGCATTTATTACGACAACACCCCCCGTCGGAACAGAGCCCCATCACCCTGAACAAGGTAAGCTACGGCACAGGCTTTCGGCGAAAGGAAGCACGTCACAAGAGACAAGGAAATGATGACCAAAGGATATAAGTAAGGATAGAAAGACAAGAATAAGGTTAAGTTATCTCTCTCTTGATCCCTCTCTCCATATTCCCTACTACTTCCTCTACTAATTCTCACGTCGGGGGGTTCACTAGGGGACTGCCCCGTTCCCCTTTGGGCTTGCATGCAGGTCATTTGACGGAATTATCACCCCGAACCGGAACTTGAAGAGCCTGGACCAGTCCGACCCATCCACCCGGGAAGAAGAACGTTATCATTCTCCATAAAAATTTGTCAATTTTTCATAACATATTTATACATTAAAAAAAAAAAAAAAAAACACAAAAAATTGGGATGGCAAGACGACGTCGGTTAGTAAACCCTAAACATGGGTAGACATGTACAACAATCCATTCAAAGTTGGAAGGAAGAAGAAGAAGAAGCAGCAGCAGCTAAACACAGAGATGGACAAAAGGAAAAGAATCGCAGAAGAAGCTATAGATCAAAATCAAAAGAAGAAGAACAAGTCTAACAATACTACTACGACGACGACGAAGACACAAAACAACGATGTCTTCTCTTCTTGTTCTTTCTCCAGTCTTGGCCTTCAATCTTCCTTGTGCGACCAACTCAGAGGTCTCTGTCTCTGTCTCTGTCTCTCACTGTGTATTATTCGTTGAGCTCAATTCAAAGTAATTTAGCTTTCAAAAGCGTGGAAAAAATGCTAATGGAATGTGCTAAAGCGATTGATGAATTTGTTATGTGTATATGCATATGATATAAATACAAATTATCCAAGCTAAAAATTATTGTAAAAGGATACATCTTTCCAACTGGCTCTCAAATTGTGAAATTTGCTGCTACATTTTGTTTATTATGCATATGTAATCTTAGTTTTATTGCTTAACTGAGCTCAGTCAGTTCAAAGCAATTTTTGCTTTCTGAAGTGTGGAGAAGTGCTTTCGAAGGTGCTAAAGCGATCAGTGAATTTGCTATGTATATGTATATGATATGAAATTGTAGAAGGATACATCTGTGGAACTTGCTCTCAAATTGTGAAAGTTGCTGCTACATTTTGTTATTTTATGCATATGTACGCCTAGTTTTATTACTTAATTCAAAGTAATTTTGTTTTGGAAAGCGTGGAAAAGTTCTTTTGAAGGTGCTAACGCAATCAGTGAATTGGCTATGTATATATATGCATGATATGTATATGATATAAAATACATCTTAGCTAAGCAAAAAATTATTGTACAAGGATACATCTTTTGAACTTGCTCTCAAAATGTGAAAATTGCTGGTACATTTTGTTTATTATGCATATGTACTCTTAGTTTGTTTGCTTAACTGAGCTCAATTCTAAGTAATTTTTGCTTTCTAAGTGCTTTCAAAGGTGCTAAAGCAATCAGTGAATTTGCTATGTATATGTATATGATATGAAATACATATTAGCAAAGCTAAAAATTCTTGTAAAATGATACATCTTTTGAACGTGCTCTCAATTGTGAAAGTTGCTGGTACATTTTGTTTATTATGCGTATGCACTCTTAATTTTATTTCTTACATGAGCTGAATGTGGAGTCAATTTGTGTTCGTGAGTGTGGAAAAGTGCTAAAGTGATTGATCAATTTATTTGCTTATTTTCGATTGTATCATGTGTTCCTCTGTATGTCTCCACAGATAGAATGGGCTTTGAATTTCCGACCCTTATCCAGGCTCAGGCAATACCTGTTATTCTCTCCGGGCGACATGTGTACTCTCCCTCAATCTCCCCCTCTGTACTTTTCTTTATTTTTCAGTTGTTTCTAATATTTGGTGCGTTTGTTTTTGTTTCTGAATGAAAAATTTAGTCTTGTTAATGCGGCTACTGGAACGGGCAAGACTGTAGTATATCTGGCTCCAATTATCCATCACTTGCAGAAGTATGATCCCCGAATTCAGCGGTCCCATGGAACTTTTGGTATGTGCTTGTTAGTAAGAACAATAGTTTCTTGATTAATTCTACTTGTGACTGATTATTTCAAGTTATACCGTAGACTTCTCAAGGAGATGCAATTTTCTATTTATTGCTATGAAAGCAAGAAAAGATCTTTGGAAATGCACTTCTATTTGCGGGTTATTGTGAGGAAAAATGATACATTCGAAAAAAATTTATGAACAATTTCTCATAATGTTTCATGCTTAAAGATGATGAAATTAATGACTACTAAATTTAAAGTTTTGAATATAAAAAATGGAATTTTAGCAGCAGTTTGTATATTTTTCAATGCAAATGTGGAAAATCTTTTTCTTTTTTGGGGCCTCAGTGGTGGTTAATAACACAACCAACAATGATCAATAGAAAAGTTTCAAAATTATTGTCCCTGACAAAAAAGAAAGAGTAAAAGTGGTTTTGAAGTCCAATGGAGGGCTTAAATTTGATATGTATTCTACAGAAGTAATTGCATTTGGTCTTCAGATTTTGCTTTCATGTATATAGTAATTATATATATATTTTGAAATCATTATGATCTGCTTTTTTAGTTTGTGTTGCTCGAACTGTTATTTAATGTCAAGAATAGCATCTTTATTTGTGAGTTTGGAGGGGAAACATTACCATGAGTTGTTCATTTGTTTGTTAATGGGTAAGCTTATGTGGCCATGTGATTTTAAGCACAAACTTCCAAGTGGTTTTAAGCTTGTTTTTTTTTTTTTTTTTTTCTAGGGGTGAATGTCTGCTTTGATGAAGCTTGGGCTTTTAGATCATCACTCTTTTGTTAGTCATGAGAAACGTGACACTATTGCTGCATTACTTTGTGTACTTTGACCAATAAAAAATTGATGAGCTGATATATTTATGGTAGCGTTGGTTCTTGTACCAACGCATGAGTTATGCATGCAGGTATATGAAATCTTGCGAAAGTTATTGCACCGTTTTCATTGGATTGTCCCAGGCTATATAATGGGTGGTGAAAACAGGTCAAAAGAAAAGGCCAGGTTGCGCAAAGGTAAGACATCATGCATAATTACAGTGTCCTAACTTACATTTTGGAATTTGAACTTGCAGGTTAAGGTTTGTTAAGTACTATAGTATACTGAATTCTCTAGCAATTTGATGGGCCAGATTGTTAAGTTCAAATGTTGTAAAACCCACTTGGTTGTCAAGCAGGAATTTTGTGGTGCAGTTTTTTTCAGTTATATTCAGTTGTTTGACCCATTAACCAATAACTAAACTATTGCCATATTTTGTGTTACGTAACCAAGATTTGGGTATAAAAATATTATTCACTGAATTTTTTATGTTCATTTAACTCATTGAACTGAAGGGTTCTTTACTTTTCACATTTTAGAGCTATTATTAGTGGATTTATTCCTGCATCTTCCAGCAAGATTTTGCATTGACAGCATATCTGTTGTGATAATACATAATTGCTACTTCTTCATTTCCCATTCATTTGTTCTTCCCTTCGTTTTTCTTTTATCAAATTGGTTTTTAACCCTTGTTTTTACTACTAAATGATTTTCGTTGGTGCAATGTGGTTTTGGTTGGTCTAGTTGTTAATAGGTTTTTCATTCTTTAAGCTTTCAACTTTCAACTTTGATTGATAAGTAGATTCCTTTTTGGCCATTTAGCTTGAGCTTGAGTCAAATCCTGCATGAGTATGTTTTATTTATTATCTTGTCCTGCAATATGACGCCTAGTTATTTTTGGTCTTCTACTTGTCTTTTAGTCACCTCACTCTTAGCTTAATTAATTTTTCTAGCTGCTACATAATTAATTTCCCATTAACATGACTTGACCTCTTCTTTTTTTTTTTTTTAATTTTTTTTTTTATTATCTTGTCTAGAATTGGTGCTATCTCTCTCTACCTCCTTGTATGTGCCTTCAATTCTTATTTATCATTTTTGTCTTGCCACTTATTTCAATTATGCTCATTTTATTAACAGGTTTTAGAATTTTCAGCATCTTGTGAAATAAAGGCATAGTTCGTTAGCCTGATAGACATCTCATAAAACATTCTATTCTCTGTTATTTATTCTGTAACACACAACTGTTTAGCATGGGTAACTTATGGTCATTTCCAGGCATATCTATTCTTGTTGCAACTCCTGGACGCCTTTTGGATCATCTAAAAAATACATCATCCTTTGTGTACACAAATTTGCGATGGATAATCTTTGATGAAGCAGATAGGTAATATCTACAATCTAAAGTTGCAATTGGTTCTTGTTTCTTCTTCTTTCTGAGTTCTTTCATTTATCAGTGGCTTTGTTGTGCACCTTAACAGGATTCTTGAATTAGGATTTGGTAAAGACATAGAGGAGATACTTGATCTCTTGGGTTCCCGGAAACAGAAGTCTCTTAGCGAGGGGAATACCATTTCAAGGATTTCTGAATTTCAGAGACAGAATTTGCTTTTGTCAGCTACCTTAAATGAAAAAGTAAATAATCTTGCTAAAATGAGTTTAGAAAATCCAGTTATGATTGGTCTCGATGACAGTAAGTTGCAAACTAGTCCATCTCTTGAACATTTGGAATCTTTAGGATCTGATGTGGATAATGAATTAAAGTACTCAGGAAAGCTAATAAGTTCTTCCAATGAAGAATATAAGCTTCCAGCTCAATTAGTTCAGAGATACGTTAAAGGTAATGTGACGGAGACTCTGATTTGGTGACTTTCATGGATTTCGATTTCATATGCGAATTCTGATTGAATTTTCTGTATAGTGCCCTGTGGTTCACGGCTTGTGGTCCTCCTATCCATTCTGAAGACTCTTTTTGACTCAGAAATTTCCTATAAGGTAAGGCCACCCTTCTATTTCCAAACTTCTGATTGTTCCTACACATGCTGTAATGTTGTTCCTTTATGTAATGCATGCACATTCAAGTATCGTAAGAATTGTGCTGGTCAATCAGTGCAAGATCTACATGTGCGTTTGAATTGGTAAATTCATGGTTAGATAACTAGTTGAACTACAGCCCTGCATTTACCTTTCCGGTTTTTAAACTTCTTTCACATTTGAAAGTTAATGAAAGAGTGCTGCTCTGGTAACACAATGCCACTCACTAATCAGTAGGGTGGCATCATTATGAGTTTGGTTTGTAGGAGTCTCTCATGATTCATTCTCTAGAATGGTCGCTGTATCTTTATACACTTCCAAATATTATTTCACACTGAGTACTTTCCTTTAGTCAGGAGAAGATCAAGACTTTGTTTTTCTCTCCTTTATTCATTTGTTTATTATTTTTAATTGTTAAATATAGGAAGAAATGTCATTATTTCTCATTCGAACTAATTTGTTATGAAAAGTTGTATTACTTCAGTGCATAATAACTTGTTCTTATTGTCAAGTTCTCTCATGCATTCACTTTACAGATTGTGGTATTCTTTTCAACATGCGATGCAGTCGATTTTCATTATTCACTGCTCAGTGACTTCCAGTTGTCCAACCAACAACCAGAAGCAGAACGCCAGAAGCAATATTTGAAATGCAAAACTTTCAGATTACATGGAAACATGAAACATGAGGACCGCAGAACTACGTTCCAGGCCTTCAAAACAGAGAAATCAGCTCTTCTCTTGTCCACAGATATTTGTGCTAGAGGCTTGGATTTTCCGAAAGTTAAATGTATTATACAGTATGATTCTCCAGGGGAGGCTACTGAATATGTGCACAGGTACTTATTTTTTTTTGGAATTTCTATCTTTTATTCTGGTGACTACCCCCCCCACCTGTTTTTTTTATTTTTTATTTTTATATTCTGTGCAACTGTGTGTTGAGTGCCGGTGCGCATGTTGAATATGATTTGCAAATAGCAGTATTCATTACGCCTCAACCCTCCATATGCATGTCTCTTCCACTTGCTATTATGTGTTTCAGAAGCTCCATACATCAGAGCAGTCTCGACTAATCAATCTCATCTGAGTATTCTGACCATCAGGAATAATCAGTAAAGCTATGTTTGGATCATGGATTCGGGGACGAATTTGCTAAGGGAAGAGAAAAGTGAATGAAATAAAAGCTATTTGTTTTCACTTTTCCCTTCATTTTTCCTTTCCCTCTGCAAATTCCTTCTCAACTCTATGATCCAAACACAGCCAAAGAGATTTTTTTGCTTCCCTAAATTTATTCATTTAACAATATCTTGCACGCCAGATGATTAACAGTAATTGTATGATTTATCTGTGAGAATGTGTTCTAATGTGTTCTCCTTTTTCCTTGTAGGATTAGGAATAAGTGTCCTATATCTATTTGACTTCTATATCTCAGTAATGTATTCATGTAGGATTAGGATTAGGATTAGGAATTAGTGGTGCTCTATATAAATGATGTATTCTTTGTTCAATCTATTAAGATCTAATATATAGTTTCGTTCAGAAAACTTACATGGTATCAACGCTAGGTTTGAAACCCTAGCTGTTTCGCTTGTCGCCATCGTGGTTCTTCTGGTTCATGATCAGCCCTAAGTGGTGATATTCTGGTTTGTCTGGGTCATCACCATCAGCCCTCTCTGGTTCGACTGGTTTGTCACCATCGGAGTCGCGACCTTTCTCTCTCCAGACTCGCGAAGGTTTGAAACCCTAGCCCTCTCTGATTCGTCTCGCGAAGGCCTCTCTCTTCCTCGTGATCTCTGTCTTATTTGATTCGCAGCTATCTACTTCGGCTCTCTGGTTCGTCTTGCAAAGGCCTCTCTCTGGTTCGGCTCTCTGGTTCGTCTGCCTCTCTCTGATTCGTTTCTCAGCCTCAGTCTCTCTCTCTCTCTCTCTCTCTGTGCGCTTTAAACTTGGGTATTTCTTTTTAAAAAAAAAAACCCTATTTCAGGATTATTGCACTAAAGCCCCATACTTGTCTGTTTATTACAAATTTTGTTTTATTATAATGTCGGATACTAAAATCTAAGCCATCAAATGTAAACTCACTGGTGGCAATTATGCCTATTGGGCCAGTGTCATGAAGAATTTTCTTCTTGGTCAAAAAAAAAATGGGGTTATGTTTCTGGTTCTGTTCCTCGTCCGTCGGACCCGAAGGCGGAAGGGCATCTGCTTTCCTGTGACAATTGGGATTGTAATAATGCCCAAGTTTTAACCTGGTTTCATAATTCTGTGGATGACCGTATTGGAATGATGTTTTCCAAGTACAATACTGCCAAGGAAGTGTGGGATTATTTACTCGGTGTTTATCAGCAGTCCAATTTTGCCAAGTGGTATGAGTTGGAAACAACTATTCAGAATGCTCGTCAGCGGGATCAAATTATTCAGGACTTCTATATTGAGATGACCGGTCTCTGGGATCAGTTGGCTCTTATGGAACCACCTAGTCTCAAGATACTGGACGCTTATATTGAGTTTTGTGAACAAGGTCGTTTAGTGCAATTCTTAACGGCTCTCTCTCCTCAGTACGAGGCTATCCGAGGTGGCATCCTTCACCGATCTCCTCTTCCATATGTGGATGCTATTGTTCGTGAGTACCTCTCCGAGAAAACTCGTCTTAAGACGGCTAGTCAGCCTCTGCCTCCTTCTGTCTTCTTGGCCCCCGCGAAGCCTCCTTTGTTATCGATCCCACCTCCTCATCAGCTTCAGGCCACTACGAAACCCAAGAAAGGACCATTAGGGCCAGATGAGTGTGCTTTCTACCATCAGAGGGGTCATTGGAAGAACAACTGTCCCAAGAAGGGACGTCAGCCTGCTCCGTCTTCTTAGACACAGTTCCGCGGTCCTACGTCGGGTACTTCCGACCTCCCGCCGCTTATACTGCTTCTACTCCAGCTCCCGATCCTGACTTGGCTTCCTTGAGTGCTCAGGTTGCACAACTTCAGCATATCCTGTCCACCACTCAGCCATCCCCATCTGCCTCCGCTTTTACCTCTCTTCATTCAGGTTTGCTTGGGTCTTCTTCAAGTATCCCTTCTTCTGTCTGGCTTTTTGATTCTGGTGCCTCTCATCATATGACTCCTCACATTTTCTTACTTCAAAACTGTATTCCCCCCCTTCCGTTCCTATTACTATTAATACTGCTAATGGGTCTGGTATGTCTATTTTGTCTATTGGGTCTGTCTTACCATCTGTCATTTCTGCTGTTACTATTCCTTCTGTTCTTTATGTCTCTTAGTTATCTGTCAGTTTATTATCTATCAGTCAACTTGATGCGTCTGGTTTTGATGTTATCTTTTTCTCTTCTGTTTGTTGTGTGCAGGATCGGGTGTCCAAGAAGCAGATTGGGATCGGCCGTAGAGTTGGAGATCTCTACGTGGTTGAAAGCTTGCATCTCCCCTTATCCACCTCTCCAGCTGCACTTTCCTCGTTTCAGTTAAATTCTCAGTCGAGTCAGTTTTACTTATGGCATTCTCGCCTCGGTCATTTGTCTGTTGATCGCTTACGGTCTTTAGCTAAGTCAGGGTTTTTGGGTAATGTTTCTTCTAGTCAAATTGATGAATGTCGGGCGTGTAAACTTGCCAAAATGTTAGCTTTACCTTTTAATAAAAGTACATCTATTTCTGTTTTTCCTTTCTTCCTTGTACATACTGATGTCTGGGGACCCTTTTCTGTTCTTACTAAAGGGGGTTCAGTATACAATGTGTCTTTTGTTGATGATTGCACCCGTTACACGTGGGTTTATCTTATGACTCACAAGTCTGACTTCTACCAGATATATCGTACTTTCCAGTCTATGGTCACTACACAGTTTGGATCTACTATTAAATTGTTGCGGTCTGACTTGGGTGGGGAATACTTTAAAACTGAATTTTGTGAATATTTGGCCAACTTGGGTACTATTCACCAAACTTCTTGTACTGATACATCTGCCCAAAATGGCCGAGCTGAGCGTAAACACCGTCATCTTCTTGAGATAGCTAGGTCTCTCCTTCTTTCTGCCTCCGTTCCAGCTCCGTTTTGGGGTGAGGCAGTTCTTACTGTTGCTTTTTTTCTCAGCTGTATGCCACCCCCTTCTTTCTGGTCGGTCTCATTATGAGGCTTTGTTTTCTCAACTTCCTAATTACTCCCTCCTTCGTGTGTTTGGGTCTGTGTGTTTTGTCCTTTTACCCTGTAAAGATAGGACCAAACTTAGTGCCCAGTTTGTCCTATGTGTTTTTTTGGGTTATAGTCTCACTCAGAAAGATTATTGTTGTTATGACCCTGTTTCTCGTAGCCTTTATGTCTCCCGCCATGTTGCCTTTCTCGAATGTCTATCTCACTTTCAGCTTCCTCTTCTCACTGCCCCAGTTTCCAAAGAGGATTTGGTTCATATTGATCCATTTCCTTCTGAGATCCCGTTTGATGAGTACATCTCCATAGTTCCTCTTGAGCTTATTCCATCTTCTTCTTCTGCTTCACCTTTGACTACTTCCCCTCCATCGCCTTCTCCTCCTCCTCCTCCGTTGTTAGTTTATTCTCGTCGCAAGGCTCCTCCTCTACCAGTTGTCTCTGCCCCTGTTGCTGATCCTCCTGCTTCTGACGACTTTGATCCTGCTGTATACCAATATCCTCCTTGAGCGCGTCATTCTCCAAAAAGGTTAGGTTGGTCTAATACTTGTTTTTCTGCTTCCTATCATACCTTTTTGTCTGCTATTCACTCTTTTGCAGAGCCTCAATCTTACAAGGAGGCCTGTCAGGATCCTCGTTGGGTTCAAGCTATGGAGGATGAGTTGTTTGCTCTACAGAAAACTAGTACTTGAGAGTTGGTTTCTTTACCTGCTGGTAAGAATCTGGTTGGTTGCAAATGGGTCTACAAAGTCAAGACTCATTCTGATGGTTCTCTTGAGCGCTACAAAGCTCGTTTGGTGGCCAAAGGTTTCTCTCAGGAGTATGGTATTGATTATGAGGAGACATTTGCTCCTGTTGCCAAGATGACTACTGTTCGTATTTTGATTTCTGTCATTACTGTTTGTTCTTGGCCTCTTTGTCAGATGGATGTTAAGAATGTTTTTCTTAATAGCCATCTTACTGAGGAGGTTTACATGCGTCCTCCCCCTGGTCTTCACCATTCCTTTGGCCAGGTTTGTCGTCTTCGGCGTGCTCTATATGGTCTGAAGCAATCTCCTCGTACTTGGTATGATCGCTTTCAGACTACTGTTACCGAGCTTGGGTTTCATCCTTCTGCTTCCGACTCTGCTTTATTTCTAAGACATACCTCGGCTGGTTTTGTTGCTCTCTTACTATATGTAGATGATATGATCATCACTGGCTCTGACTCTTCTGCCATCTCTGAGGTCAAGCAGCATCTCTTCCACACCTTCGAAATGAAGGATCTGGGACCACTGCGGTATTTTCTTGGCATTGAGGTAGTTTCTTCTCCCAAGGGTTACTTTCTGTCCCAGGCTAAGTATGAAAACGAGGTTATCCATCGTGCCGGACATACTGATACTAAGTTTTCTGATACCCCCATTGAGCTTAATGTAAAGCTCAACACTACTGATGATGTTCCTCTAGATGATCCGATGTTATATCGCGAGCTTGTGGATTGCTTAGTCTATCTGACAGTTACTCGCCTTGATCTTGCCTATGCTGGCCATGTGATTAGTCAGTTTGTTTTTGCCCCTCGCTCTACACATTGGGCTGCTTTGCTTCGGATTCTTCGCTATCTTCGCAGTACTATCTTTCAGGACTTGCTATTCTCTTCTACTTCTTCCTTAGACTTTGGTGGCTTATGCTGATGCTGATTGGGCTGGTGATGTTAATGATCGTAAATCTATTTTTGGTTTCTGTATGTTTCTTGGCGATTCCCTAATTTCTTGGAAAAGCAAGAAACAGGCGGTTGTTTCCCGTTCTACTGCCGAAGCTGAGTATCGTGCTATGACTCATGCTACTGCTGAAATTGTCTGGCTTCGTAGTCTCGTATCTGAGTTGGGCGTCCCTCAGTCTTCCCCAACTTCTCTCTATTGTGACAACCGAAGTGCTATTCAAATTGCTCATAACACTGTCTTCCATGAACGAACAAAGCATATTGAGATTGATTGTCACTTCGTCCAATAGCATCTACAGTCTGGCGTTATCTCGCTTCCTTTTGTCCCTTCGGCTCTGCAACTTGCTGACTTCTTCACCAAGACTCACACCACTGCTCGGTTTCGGTTTTTTGTTGACAAACTCTCAGTGTTTTCTGTTAAAACATTTTGAGTTTGAGCGGGGGTGTGAGAATGTGTTCTAATGTGCTCTCCTTTTTTCTTGTAGGATTAGGAATAAGTGTCCTATATCTATTTGACTTCTATATCTCAGTAATTTGTTCTCCTTTTTCCTTGTAGGATTAGGAATAAGTGTCCTATATGTATTTGATTTCTATAACTCAGTAATATATTCACGTAGGATTAGGATTAGGAATTAGTGGTGCTCTATATAAATGATGTATTCTTTGTTCAATCTATTAAGATCTAATATACAGTTTTGTTCAGAAAACTCGACTTTCTTATGCTTGGTTTATCAAAAGTAATCTAGTCCATGTGGCATGAACGTGATTGTCAAGAATAAGGGTTTGCTGCAACCTTAATCTGTGTTGTAGAGTTGGAAGAACTGCTCGCTTGGGGGAAAAGGGACATTCTTTGTTATTTCTACAACCAATTGAAATGGATTATTTGCAAGACCTAGAAAAACATGGTGCGTCACTAACTGAGTATCCCCTTCTCAAAGTGTTGGATAGTTTTCCATTATATGGTCAGCAGCACCATGCCAAAAGGTTTGTTTCCGTAGAGATGCATCCCTGGGTGCTTTCTTTGCAGAAGGCACTTGAATCCTTCATCATGGCAGTGGTATGACTCTTTTTTATTGATCTTCTTTAAATTCGGAAGTTATAATTGCTACCTATTTAACTAAACAATATGAGACTGATGAAAGTTGCCAACCAGTTTAGAGTTGACACCTCTAAGGTTGTGTTTGAATCATGGATTTGATGAGGGATTTGCAGAGGGGAAAGGAAAATTAAAGGGAAAATGAAAGAAAAATAGCTTACAAAAGGAAAAGTGAGCTTACACTGATTCTCTTTAGCAAATCACTCCTTGAATCCATGATCCAAACACAGCAGAAGAGATTACTGGCTAGTAAATTATATTTTAATCATGTCATGCATTTCGAATTTTGCCCACCTGGTGTCGAAATGAACTGAGAGCACTTTGCCTACTAGGTATTCTTCTGAATATAATTCAGTAAACTTCTTTGATTTTTAATTCTTCCTAGTATATTCTAAGAATTTTTTTTTTAATTTTTTATTTCCTAGTGGTTTTTGATACATTCCAAGTAATTCCACTTTTTCGTTGCACAGTTATAATACAGTAATTTCAGAATGTGGGTCCAAGAATGATGCCAAATACTAGTTTTCTGAGTCTTCGATGTTTTCAAAGGAGACTCCTAAGACATTGTGTATGTGCTCAATGTCAAGGTTCCTTAATTGAGTCCCCAGAAGGGAAAGTATAAAATAATTGGAGTCTTTGGACAAACATATGCTAGTATAGTAAAAGACTAGTAGTTTGCAAAGACTAGTACTTTGCAAATGCTCGCATTGTTGCTATAGTTGAACTAATCGCATTCTTCTTAAGTATATCCTTGGATGTGAGAACAGTAGTTGTGGACCCTGGGCAGGGATTCTTGATATGAAATCCAATAGAAATGGCTGCTCCAAATTTCAATCACGTTTCAGATGATATTTGATTAATATATTTCATTATTTCATTTGGTTTCAGTTAATTCATTAAATCCAAAATTTTAATCCATAATTACAATAGTACTTTTATGTTCTCTGAATTGATGCCTTGCCTACATCTTGTTTTAGCCGGGGATGAAGAAGTTGGCAAAGGATGCATTTTGTTCTTGGGTCCGTGCATACACTGCCCATCGTGGCGAACTAAAAAGGATTTTTATGGTGAAAAAGCTTCATTTGGGGCATGTTGCAAAAAGCTTTGCATTGAAAGAACAGCCGTCATTGGTTGGTAAATCGTTTCAAATGCAGACAAAGAAGAGGAAGAGGGATCTAAATCAAAAGGGAATCCCGAAAAAGAGGAAGAACCCCTGGAAATCGTGAATTCAGGCCACAAGGGAGCTACATACCATCATGTCCAATTGGCTAGTTAACTAGTTCCACAGATACGATTGCATGTTGGAGTTTTTTACACTGTATTATATGATTTTGGGCAGTTTTATATCTGGGTAGTTATGCAGGGTTCTATCTTTTTTTTTCGGTTGAGCAAATGGAAGCTAAAATGGAACATCTTGAATTGCCCTTGGTGTTGTGAATGGCAATGGTTCAGTAGTTTAATTATTTTTAGTTTCAAAATCCTAGAACATTGTGTCAGTTTTGACAATTGGCACTGAAATTTTGTAGTTCAAAATTTGATTATTGATTACTGAATTGCTGGTATTTTTATCTCCAACTTTGGGGCCTTCTTTGGTTAATGGACTAATTTCTTCGATTTCTATTAAAGTCTAGCTTATATGATATAGATTGTGTGTCATTTAAACAACATTAGATGGACACACGACTTGTCAAATTCTCTACCAAGTGAAATAAAAAAAAGCTTGTGGTGTCAAAATCAATCTCCCGTTAAGACGTCGTCTTTTCAGCTAATCAACTCCTTTTAGTAGTATTTTTGGTCTTTTTAATCACAAGACTCACAAAAGGAAAGTCACAACTCACACGATAATTCAAAAACGTCCCATCTTATCCCATCTTTGGTGGTTGTTCGAGCTCTCACTTTCTCTTTGATCAAATGAATGAGATCTTCAACTTTATTTGTCCAGTTGATTAATCATAATTTGTTAAGATCATTAATAACGTGAGAGCTACAAATCACTAATAACAAGCTTACACGACTCATTATATGATACATTGCGTGTTAGCTTAATAATATTAAGCGGTCACATGACAAATTAGTAAGTCAAATTTATCAAAATCTTTACTAAACAAGAGAAATCAAAAAGCTTAGGTTGAAAAATCAATCTCACAATAGACTCGTTTTAGCACCTCTAAATTGAACAACAATTTAGTTGTATCAAAAAAAATTGAACAACAATTTTTAGTAATGTATTTTTTGTCATTTTAATCACCAGACTTAAAAGAAAAGTTACAACTCACATGATTGTTCAAACCATCAGATTATTAAATGCTTCCTAAAGTGGGGGTTCAACTTCCATCTTTCCATTTTCTTTGAGGTAAGTTTTGATCAAACTAAGATGGGAGATCTCAAATTCTACTTACCTTGAGTTGATTAATTATAATTCGTTAAGATCATTAATAACATGATAGTTACGGATAGCTTGCACATGGGAATTGGAATGTCTATTGTGCTTCAATGTATAACGTGCTTGCTTTGCCTTTTTGTGGGGCTCACTCCGGACTCATCAAGTTAATTTAAATAATTTATTTTGTAAAATTTGTTGAATAGTTTATTTATACAAAATATCAGAATGATTGAATACTGGAATTCACATTTATCTTTAAAACATTAGATACCAATGTAATTCGATCATGAAAATATTAATATTATTTTTTTCACATAAATTATTATTTTTTAATAAATTTTACAAAATCAACGATTTAGAGATTTGGAATCCCTCCACCCACTCCAAACAACTCACACGGGACCCAAATACTATGTTGACAGAGCACCGCAGGGCATCGTAACGCGTTGACGGCCTGATGGCCATATAAATACAATGATGATCATGAGGCGTTCGTTCTGCCACGTCAGCTGATTTTTGATAGCCTCCTCCCTGGTTCTTGGTTCTCTGGATCTTCTGGTTGGGTCAAACTTATGAGCCCCACAACACATAATAACATCGTTAAAATGGGCCACAGTCCATTTAATTTTGAGGCCCATTTCTTGCTACCTGGCCCACTTCTGTCGGGATAGCCTTTTCAAGTATGCTGTCATATTCCAATCTCCATTATGAGTTGTTTTGGTCTAACCAAAAAAAAAAAAAAAAAAAAAACCCAATCATGAGTTGGTTCTATTAAACCCATGTTGTTTTGTTTTGTGAAATTGTGTTGTCAAAACAAGATTTTGAAATGTAATTTTCTTACATTTTTGCCTAAATTATTGATGGGAATAGTTTAAATAATTATACAAATATGTTTTTATTTAGATAGTTTTAATATTAAAAAATGAAGTTGACATTATAAAAGGACATTCAAAAGAAATTATGTTTATCATACAAATATCAAGAGATAAACCGCATATGAAATAAAATATAAATGGTTAAAGTGCATTTGACTCTCATAAAAAATAACCAAAATGTCTATGGTTCACACAATAACTTCCGTAAAAGATGATTTTATTTATGTCAATGGGGTAAATAGTACAAATTGTGCACTGTCAAATGTCAATGGGATAAACCGCATATGAAGTAAAATACAATAAAAGAAAGTGAAATTTGAACTAAATTAAAACACTGTCTAAATATATGTTTTTATTTATTTCATTTTATCTTACCGGCTTGGCTCAAATGAGGTTTGGTCTTGGGCCAAGCCTCGGTTTGGCAAAAAAAACTTGCTAGACTTATCTCGTAGACAATTCTAAACATCATTTTAGCGAACTAGCCCGGCCGGTTGCTGTTGTACACTTGTGGAATCATAAATCTATGATCACAAAGCCGTTGGTTAAAAACGAAACCTTTTCATTTTTGTAGAATGTTGTAGGTTTTTTAGAATTGTTTGGCATGACCTACGATAATATATATATATATTTTTTAAAATCTTTTTGAGTCATATTACTATTTATTTTTTTATAAAAAATAAAAAAATATACTTATTTAGATTATTCTAATTAACCTCCAAGTATTGAGGTGATATATTGCTTTTCAAACCCTAGTTCTTTGGCTATTGATTTCCTCTCTGCCTATATAATATGTTAGAAAAAATTAAAAAAAAGGCTCTATAATTCAACTGTAACCCCTGAAAGTTGTGCAACTTTTTTCAATAGTACCTACCCAGTGATAATATCACCCCACGTGAATGGCAATAATACCACATTTTTTAATCAATAAATAAATAAATATCCGCAGAGGAAGAGGAGAGTCAAGCTTGTGCTTGCGTCCGTCCTTGCAGGCATTCGGGTCTATTTTTAGATCCAATTTTGATAATCCGAACCGTTTATATTTTATGATTTATTCAGTATATCATACCTGTAAAAAATCAAGTTGATCGGATATCAGAAAGTATGTGTTTGAAAAATTGAACTAAACACTATTTTTTAAAGAATTTAATAAACAGTTTTCCGAACATATGCTTTCTGATATCCGATCAACTTGATTTTTTACAGGTATGATATACTGAATAAATCATAAAATATGAACGGTTCGGATTATCAAAATTGGGCCTAAAGGTAAACCCGAAGGCCTGCAAGGACGGGCGCAAGCACGGAAGCTGCAAGGAGAGGATCCTCACTCAAGCAACTGAATTATTTTTGGTATGGAAAAAGCTACTCACCTCCAAAAACTAGTTTAAAAAAATATGTAGGATATAAATTGCAATTTAAGGAGATATATGTTATGTTGATAGTAAATTTGGTTCATACCAAGCTTATAAATGGATCAGGTTTGACATAATTTGAATATGCCTTGATTAAGGCACATTTTGGTAATTTTGAATATCAAATAACTTGATGAAATAATCGACTTTGTTAAGGGCTATTTTGGGAAGATGGTTGAAAACTATTTTTTGGTTAGAAGCTGATTAAAAGTTACTTTTTGTGAGAGAGGGAAGTGGGTTATAATTTTGGAAGTGAATTATAGCCCACTACTCAAAAGACCCCTAAGTATAATTTTCAACTTGTACTAATCAATTGTTCATGCATTTTATGTTAAGCATATGTTTAAATTGTCTTTTATATATGTCCTAGTTTGCAAAATATAAATTAACAAGGATTATAGCAAAAGATGAATCACATCAAATCAGATCATATTTTTGTATATTGGATCTATTTAGTGATCGGATATCAAATTTCCCTCTAACAAAGTCAGGTTTTATTGTATTGAATTTGAATAAAATTCGTGTTACTTCACACATCTTATTTTTCATATAGTTGGTAATATTATTATTATTATTATTATTATTATTATTATTATTATTGTTTTATGTAATTTGCATGTCGGTGTTAAATGCAGGTAGCTCATATCATACGTACATCCCCCCCAAAAAGCAACAACCAAAGAATAATAATACTAATTAATTAATCATTAATTATTAATAAACATACAACAATACAACCAATACATATATAATATAGCCGACTCTTAGCGTGAAACCAGGACTTTGGGGGGTAATGGGTCTTATATATTAAAAAAATATATTACATTTTATTATTTTAAATCAATAAAAAATGTGTATGATTTGTAAAGTGTGTGAACAAAATTAAATTTATATGATATTTATAAAAATACATAAAATTTTGTTTGATTTTGTAATTAATTTTTATGTTTTAAAGTTTTTTCAAGTGTAAAAATCTTCAATGGACTTTTAAACGAGATCTGTTAGAGTATCTCTAACGTTTTACTAAAAATTTGATGAAAAATTTGATCAAATATAATGCACTCCAATGTTTCGTCAAATCTAGGTAGTCATCTCACTAAACGTTCGACCGCTCATACAGTCTAGAGTAAATTTTTATCAAATTCATCACAGAATCGGTTGTCTAGGAGGATGTCTGGGCGAATGTCTGACCCAATGATCACCTATAAATTTGATGAAAGAATAAAACTCCCTTAGACCATCTCCAACCCAACACCAAATGTTTCATTAAATATAAATTTGATGAAAAAACCTACCTTTTACTGCTCCAACCTAGCACCAAATGTTTCATCAAATTGAGTATAGTTGTGCTTTTCATTAAATCACTGTTTATAGTCATTAGAGCTGCATGCCATTTTCACCATTGGACAACTAGCTGGATGTCCGTCTAGTTGTCCCTCCCGTATGACCACTTCCTTGTAAAAATTTGTAAAAAATTACACTGGCCGGTCGTTCGCTTGGTCGACTAGTGTTTTGATGAAAGTTCAAAATTCTCCGTTGGAACACGTGATATCAAATGGAGTTTTAACTCAAATTTTTACTCCAATTAGTCCATAAATTATTCTTGTATTTCAATAAATCCTATTATTTTGAACATTTGATCTACCAAATCTTAATTATCATATTTAGAATATTTTATGGACAATTTTACCTTTATAAATATTTTTTGAACCATTAGTAATTTGGTGATGTGAACATTTACATTAAATAAATTCAATAGTGTGAATATTCAAATCATTCCTATCCCCCTTGAGTTTGCGGGGGCTGTTAAAATCCACCTACTCTCCACCTACTTTACCCACTTAAACCTACTCCACTAAACCTAACCCACTACACCACTACCACCTCACCTTCACCTACTCCTTACCTACTACACACTTACCCTCTT